ACAAAAGTAGGAAAGCGGCAGAGCGGACGGTGCGGTGGCGCCAGCGCGCTGCGCGGCCTGAACACGGCACGGGCCATCTCACGCATGCTCTGCTCAGTGCTCACCTATTCAGAACAACAAAATAATGCTACGGACAATCACAGCTTGCTGAAAAAATTGGCTGAGAAGCATAAGAAGGTTGTACGAAACATGGAAAATTTTCCCTCCGAAACATGAGCAGTTTGAGAGCCAGACCCTCTGTGCGTATATGTATACATATACGCACACAGGGTCTGGCTCTCAAACTGCTCATGTTTCGGAGGGATATATGTAACACAGATATCTCATTCCTTAGCAATGGCCGGCCATTGTATTAATAGCTAGTATAATACGCAAAAATGGTGAACCAGCGCTCAGAATGAAACTCGGTCATTGCGACTTGAATGCTTTGTTTTGTTTACCTACTATCAATCCCTGCGGTCATGGCAGCATTCAAACTTAAAATTTTAAAGGAAACGATCAAAAATTAAAACGAAAGTACTCACACTTTACGATTAAGTTTCCTATCAGCTATTTCGTGCGTTCATTATTAAACATTTTATTAATCGATTTAAGCACAGGAACAAAAGCACATGAAGACTCAGCACTCCTCACATCATCAAACAAGCAAGTAGGCAGCAGGCAGTAAGCTTCCATCATTGAAAAGGACCCCGCACACCTTTTATGGGAAGCTGCACCACGACCGATTGCCTTCTGACTTATGTACTCCGATTCTCTTCAAGATGCTGATCAAAAGTTATAATTGCGCCAACTTTCTACGATGCACCGTTTTCGCAAAAAAGCTAAGTGAAGATTCAATTATCTGGCGATGAAAAGCCAGAAAGATTCCTCATTTCAGTACTCGAGTGAACAAATCAGGGGAACTCCCGCACCGACCGGCAGTCTTATCTCGGATTCCGTACGCCGTTTTCCTCGACCACCCATCGTGAGGAGCATATGAACAGGAAAATGAGCGTCAAACGGACGCATCGAGAGCGTGAGGAGGGGGATAGCCCTAGAGTCGGCAGGTACAGATAAGAAGACGGACACGCGCTAGGTACATTTTTTCCTTATTTACATCGGGCCTTTCTCAAATGCTTCGTTCTTTTTTATTCCCCGTAAGGAAATGGCAGCCGCTTTTCAAATGCAATTATCGAGTCAATCGATAATTTTTTGATCATAATGGAAATCAGAAATGGATTCCTCGTACGTTTAAATGGTTTAAACCTTCATTAGATAAATAAGAACCGTCGGGATGCATGAACCCTATTTTTGAGGAAGACTGTAGTCAATGGGCGATTGTTTACATCTGCCTGCTTAGTGATAACAGACATGGACATTAGGTCAATATTTGGCCATTTTCATGAGTTTTTACTTTTCTGTCACTATTTGAAGGTAAGTTTATTTTGGAAATCAATTGTTTAGTGCCTTAGGATCATGTTAAAAGCTGAAAAGGTACCTATACTTTGTAACTTATTAATTCAGAACACACTCCGGCAGTCCAGCGCTCAAACCTGGATGTAGCGAGTCAGTTATTTCTTACTATTTCACCCTTTATTGCTTCACTGAAGACACCAAAATGATAGTATCAATCATTGATGATGAAAAAAACTTACCTTTGACAATACTGATAAGATGAGGAGACTGGTATGTTTTAGCTGGAGGCAAGGAAAGTAGACGTAGGATCCTTCTTCGGTCACCAGACTTTATCGATAAATTTTTCTGTACAGTGTTACACTTAAAACACACAGGATTTTAAAATAACATGAGTTGATAAAACGTGGGAACGTTCTGAATGATTTTGAGATGTTTGTTGAAGAGTTAAGAATGAGTTACACGCATTGAGAGAACATCCATGGTTTGAGCGTTACACTGCCGGAGTGTGTTCTGAATTAATAAGTAACAAAGTATGTACCTTTTCAGCTTTTAACATGATCCTAAGGCACTAAATAATTGATTTACGAAATAAACTTACCTTCAAATAGTGGCAGAAAAGTAAAAACTCATAAAAATGGCCAAATATTGACTTAATGTCCATGTCTGTTATCACTAAGCAGATGTAAACAATCGCCCATTGACTACAGTCTTCCTTAAAAATAGGGTTTATCCCGTCGGTTCTTATTTATCTAATGAAGGTTTAAACCATTTAAACGTACGAGGAATCCATATCTGATTTCCATTTTGATCAAAAAATTATCGATTGACTCGATATTTGCATTTGAAAAGCGGCTGCCATTTCCTTACGGGAAAATACATTGTAAGTGATGAAGAAACCAGGTCTGTCATATCATTTCACGTCACAAGCACAGAATCCACCAATCACAAGTATGGCGGTTGAAAAACGACCGTTTTGAATGGGTTGGTTCCAAAAACAGCTTTTTTTGAGTTTGAGAGGTCATTTCAGTGGCGTGCGGTCCGGATAAGCAAGGCAAGCACTGCTTGCCCAAAGATTTCAAACGAAAGAAGAAAATTACACCTATTTCATGTTGAACATTTTAGCAAATATAATTTATAAAAGGTGTTCAGTAAGTAAATTGCATTAAAAACAGAAAAAGAGAGAGACAGAAATACGTGTAGAGCCACAGCAGTGGGAAAGCGGCAGGGCGGTTGGAGGTGGC